CTTGACCTTTGACCCCATTGACCCAAAGGTCACAATCAAGCTTGAGTCCGTGGGGATGTTTACATCTCTCACTTTAACAAATGCTTATATACCCCCCCCCTTTTTTTTTAAATTAATAGGAACCTAGAAAATTTTGCTACAGTTAAAACGACGCCACAGATCGACATGAAAGAGTTTAAGGATGGCAGTAGAAGACACATTAAAGAAAGTGTCCTCAGTGTTTAACAGTGAGTCTCTGAAGTATATAATGAGTATCGGCAACAACTACATTTTTTTCTGTCTGAAATTTAGGTGCTTATGAGCATGAAAATTAATTAAAGCTTGTATTGGGTATTTCTTCACTTTTTGTCAATAACATTCGATTCTCCTGCTCAAATACGAAATTTTAATACCAAGTTTTCTTGATCTCCTTTGTATGTAGAGTTTATTTCAATTTTATTTACATGGAATATTCATTTCATCATATGAATCTAGGAAATAGCGATTTTTCCCTACCAAATCAATTTCTACGCGATTTAGATAGCTTAGATAAATTGCAGTTACCTCGCTTTGAACGGCATGTTGTAGAGAAAATGTCCATGACTCACAACTGCATGAGATGTTTTGAACTTTGACCTTGAAGAGTAGGTGAAAGTCATTGGAAAACTAGAGAAATTGTCGATTTAAGCTTAAAATCCAAATGACCTTGACCTTTGACATTTGACCTTTGCCCCTTACTCAAAAAGTAATAAAGAAATATTCGTTACCTTTATCTAGATTCAGCTTCAAGTGTTAATCTCAAGTTTATCTCTCTCTCTTATTTGGATAACTTTGACCTTGATAAATGACCCCCTATTGATCCAAAGGTCACAATCAAGTTTAATGTCGTTGAGGTATTTGCAACTCTTACTCTAACAAATGCTTATATCCCCCCCCCCCCCTCCGTTCTTAAAAAAAATCACCAGCAGTATAGAGAAAATGTATTCAAGTCAAACGACACGATATATCGACATTAGATTCGGAGTAAAAAGAAGAAATGACCTTAAAGGAAGTGTCCTGAGAGTTTTAAGGTGAGTCTCTAAAATAAAATGAAATTCTAGTGAAAATCGAGAAAATCGGCATTTTTTTTCTGTCTGAAATTTTGTATTGCTGAGCATAAAAATTAATTAAAGCCCGTATTGGCTATTTCTGCAATTTTTGTTAATATCATTCGATTCTCCTGCTCTATTACGACATTTTAATACCAAGTTTTCTTGCTTTCTTTAGTGTATGGAATTTATTTCAATTTTATTTGGATGTAAAATTAATGGAATGAATCTTGATTTCATTTGAAATTTGATTTTTTTTTCTAGAATAACACAATCCCTAGAAATAGTTACTTTCAGCATTATAGTAAAAAGAAATACACATTTCTTCCCTGTGTTTCCCATCTAGAAATACATGTTTGGAATTTTATTTATGCTACTTTCATTGAATTTCATGCCTATTTCGGTCAGGAATGTTAAAACCCGAACCCGATTCTCTGTTTTCCTTTTCCATAATTACAAACTGCCTTGCATCTCTCGCTCATGTTTCTCACATGCTCTTAAATAATTTATTGCCATCCATTTCAAACATAAAACAACTCAAATCGGATATTTTCAAACATCTCTTTAATACATGTACAGTATAATGCACATATGATGCAGGTACACATGGGACATTTCACAACGTTTTCACTTACGCTTCCGTCTTGATGCGCAGATCAAATGCAAGTTAATCATATTATTATGTATATGATAATTTTAATCAGACCCTACCCCTTACATCTTAACTCGAAAACAATCTCATTCAAGCTCATATAGACACCTAGGAGCGTGTTACAGTGTTTTGAACGTGCTCTCTTTGCGTGATCAATGAAATCGTGATTGTCACCGAGTCGACTCGTATAATCCAGGAAGTCTGTTTAGAGTATATTTATACCAACTGCGAGCCCGATCTAAAATCCTAGTAGAGAAATGAGAATTTTCCTGTTTTATGTATTGTCTTGCTTTTTTCTACTTCTTTCAGCCCAAATGATATTGAAATGCTTAAAAAGGTAGAAAGGCCGATAATTGTTCACTGAACAATTAGTCTACTAGTCTATTATATGTCTGTCTTTTTCAAAATAGAAAAAAACATCCTGCATACAGATAAATAGAGGAGAACGGAAGACCTTATTTGTTGCTGTAGCAACAAGAGTTTCTAGTTATTATGTTCCCCAAACGAAGTTGGGGAACGTATTGTTTTTACTCTGTTTCTTATTATTATTATTATTTTTCTTCTTCTTCTTCTTCCTGGAACTTTTTTGTCCGGGAATAATCTTGTAAACTGTTCGTCCGATGTAGGTAAAACCTTTTTAGGGTTAGTAGACATGTTATGTAGATTTGCAGAATCAAGGTCATTTTGCGCGCACGTGCTTGCAAGAGCGTGCACGTGCAACACGTGAAATGACCAATATAATAGATATAGCTACAATTGTTCTATTTTTAGATGAAATGCTTTGAAACTCATAATGTGAGGATATATTAGTAGTATAGACATGACGACATGGTGAAAATAGCAAGATCTCACGCGCATGCACGTGCACTTCGCTCTGATTGGCTGCAACTAAAGTCTCAATATCTTTCTTGTTTTTTGACGAAATCCTTTGAAATTTTGAAGATAGCCATGCATTAGGATATCCTACAACATGAAATAAAGCAATTATCATGAAAACACGTGCATGCACGTGCGCTGCAATCTGATTGGCTGAAACTTTAAACAGCTATAACTCCCTTGGTTTTCAACCAAACAGGATGGGATTTGGAACATAGATAGATATAATGGACTTCTACAAGTAGGTATGGTCAACATGCACATGCATACACGTGCGTGCACATGGGCTGCAATCTGATTGGCTGAAACTTTAAACAGCTATAACTCCCTTAGTTTTCACCCAAACTGGGTGGAATTTAGAACATAGATAGATGTAATGGACTTCTACAAGAAGGTATGGTCGTCATGCTCATGTATGCACGTGCGTGCACGTGAAATGAGTAAAATCTAACATACACTTGAATGAGCGTATTTTTTAATAATTTTGGATTAAATACTTTAATATTCAGTATATTAAAAATATAGATTGTGTAGACAAGATGATATGGTTATGAAGCACATGCATTCACATGTGCACGCGTGCAATGCTAAAGTTTAAATGATTTTTGTACACTTCTTTGTAAATGTTAAAATCTCAGATGCATAGAGTTTGTCTTATTTAATGAAGCTTACAGGGAATATGGCACCAAAAGGGCGTTGGGGAGCGTTTGGGGAACATCTGTAACGGTCCCCGTTACAATTAGCACTAGTTATTATTATTTTTCTTCTTCTTCCTGGGTACTTTTTTGTCCGGGAATGATCTCGTAAACTATACATCCGACTAAGGTGAAATGTTTTTAGGGTCAGTAGACATATTATGTAGATTTGCGGAACGAAGGTCATTTTGCGCGCACGTGCTTGCAAGAGCGTGCACGTGCAACATGTGTAATGACCGATTTAATTGATATAGGCGTAACTTTTTAAATTTTTGATGAAATGCTTTGAAACTTATAATATAAGGGTATATTAGTAGCATAGACATTATGACATGGTCAAAATAGCAATATCTCACGCGCATGCACGTGCGCTTTGCTCTGATTGGCTGAAACTAAAGTCTCAATATCTTTCTTGTTTTTTGACGAAATCCTTTGAAATTTTGAAAATAGCCATGCATTAGGATATCCTACAACATGATATATAGCAATTATCATGAAAACACGTGCATGCACGTGCGCTGCAATCTGATTGGCTTAAACTTTAAATAGCTATAACTCCCTTGATTTTCAACCAAACAGGATGGGATTTGGAACATAGATAGATATACTGGACTACTACAAGAAAATATGGTCACCATGCACATGCATACACGTGCATGTATGTGCGCTGCAATCTGATTGGCTGAAACTTTAAACAGCTATAACTCCCTTGGTTTTCAACCAAACGGGGTGGGATTTAGAAGATAGATAGATGTAATGGACATCTACAAGAAGGTATGGTCACCATGCTCATGTATGCACGTGCGTGCACGTGAAATGAGCAAAATCAAAAAAAACACTTGAATGAGCGTATCTTTTTAATACTTTTGGATTAAATACTTTAATATTAAGTATATTAAAATATATAGATTGTGTAGACAAGATGATATGGTCATTACGCACATGCATTCACATGCGCACGCAAAATTTGAATGAACTTGGTACACTTTTGGGTAAACGTTATTCAAGTCTTAAATGCATCGAGTTTGTCTTATTTAATGAAGCTTACAGGGAATATGGCACCAAAAGGGAGTTGGGGAGCGTTTGGGGAACATCTGTAACGGTCCCCGTTACAATTAGCACTAGTTAAGTCTTCCGTTCACAACGGAAGACTTATAGTGTTTGTATTGTTTCTTTTTATTATTATTATTATTATTATTATTATTCCTCCCAAATTTTGTGAGCGCGATTACTCAGAGATGGTTGGATAGATTTTCACAATTTTTTACAGGATAGTAGGCTGATACGTGAAGTTTATATAAAATTCCGTTTTTTGAAATATTCACTTCCGGTCCGAAGTTATGGCCGAATTTCCAAATTTTAAATTGACTTTTGTCCAGAATTTTTCTCAAGAACAGGTTGTGTAAAAAATGTGACATTTACGGGACTCTTAGATCATCACATTCTCTTTGTTTTGACGTAGTTTTTGTGTGTTTCCGTTACTTCCTGTCCGAACCGGAAGTGAATTTGTGTTTCGGTCAATTTTTGACTTTTTTGTTTTAAATAATTTTTTCAAGATATTTCTAGGTATAATAGAGATATGTCCACAATAGCCAAATATATAATTTGTTTTGAAATCAGATCACACGTTTTGTAGATTTCAGCTACTTTCGTTTTGCATTTATAAAATCAAAGTACTGAAAGTACTAAAGGGGCATTTCTTACTTTTAATTACACGAAGGTTACGTTTACATGTTTTTCTGCATACAAAAATCAAAACATACAGACTCATTTATATTAGGATTAAGATAACATAATTGCAATGAAAATCAAAGTACCTAAAGTACTGAGAGGACTGATTTAGATACCAACCTTTTTCTCACTAAAGTGTACATGTACATGTATGTAGTATAAACAGGCATGTTTTCCTACACATAAACATCAATGCATACAATAAGTTGCCTATGGAAGCTTATTTTTGTCAGTCAATAAAAATCATAGTACCACAAGTACTGAAAGGATATTAACTATATTATTTTACTTTGACTTATATATACATGTAAATCTTTCTTTGAATGCAAAAATTAATCCAATTCATATAAACACGTATTATAATTTGTCATGTGTATTCATCAAGGATGGTGAATACTTTCATTTTTGTAGTGAAAATCAAAGTACCGCAAGTTCTGAGACGTTGTCTTCTAGATACTCCGCATTTATTTTTTTAATTTAAAGACAGTTAAAATATGCTTCTTAACCAAAAAAATAGCATGCAGAAGAACAACAGATGCATTCATTTTTGCAGTAAAAATCAAAGGACTGCAAGTACCGAAATGACATACTTAGTTTCTTACAATGTTAAATTTATTAAATAATGTACACGTTTCTCTACATACAAAAAACAATGCAAACGGTATCATACAGGAACGGAAGACTTTTTTGTTGCCATGGCAACAAGAGTCTAGTTATTATTATTTTTCTTCTTCTTCTTCTTCTTCTTCCTGGGTACTTTTTTGTCCGTGAGTGATCTTGAAAACTGTTCGTCCGATGTAGGTAAAACCTTTTTAGGGTCAGTAGACATGTTATGTAGATTTGCGGAATCAAGGTCATTTTGCGCGCACGTGCTTGCAAGAGCGTGCACGTGCAACACGTGAAATGACCAATATAATGGATATTGTAGTAACTTTTCTATTTTTTGATGAAATTTTTTGAAACTCATAATGTAAGGATACATTAGAAGTATAGACAAGATAGCATGGTCAAAATAGCAAGATCTCACGCGCATGCACGTGCGCTTCGCTCTGATTGGCTGAAACTAAAGTCTCAATATCTTTCTTGTTTCTTGTCATAATCCTTTGAAATTTTGAACATAGTCCTACATTATGAATATCTACAGCATGATATAAAAGAATTTTCATGAAAGCATGCGCATGTGCGCGTGCTGTAATCTGATTGGCTGAAACTTTAAATGGCTATATATCCTTTGTTTTTTGACGAAATTCTTTGAAATATAAAATATAGTCATGCATTAGGATAACCTACAATATGGTATAGAAAAATTTTCATGAAATCACACGTATGCACGTGTGCTGCAATCTGATTGGCTGAAACTTGAAATGGCTATAACTCTCTTGTTTTTCAACCAATCCGGATGGGATTTAGAACAGAGATAGATGTAAAGGACTCCTACAAGAAGGTATGGTCATCATGCACGTGCACGCACGTGCGTGCATTTAGAACGAGTATAATTAAAAATACACTTGAATGAGTGATTTTTATTTCTTTTGGACTGAATGCTTTAATATATAGTATATTAAAGCATTCAGATAGTGTAGACAAGATGATATGGTCATAACGCACATGCATTCACGTACATGCGCTTGGGTGCAATGCTAAAATATGAATATAATAAGTATTCCTTTTGGGAAAACGTTGTTAAAGTAAAAAATGCACAGAGTTTGTCTTATTTAATGAAGCTTACAGGGAATATGGCACCAAAAGGGAGTTGGGGAGCGTTTGGGGAACATCTGTAACGGTTCCTGTTACAATTAGCACTAGTTTTTGTTTTACCTTTACCATCACAACAGCAGTAGAACTCATTCTTCCGTTGACCAAACCTCACACAGGTTCCAGATCCACACTGGTTTAAATAAGCTGAAATATAATATTCAATTATATGTTGAGGCATGTGTTTTCAAAAAAGATGTTCCAGATGCCAGGGCAACTCACAACAAAGACAGACAGAAGTTGCCAATCATTGTGTGTCTGTTGTGCAGTGGTTAGAGCGTCTGCTATAGAGTCGTGAAGTAAAGAGTTGATCCTCTCGTCGTGGGTTCGAATCCCACTGTGGGACGTGGAGACCGGTCCTTCGGATGAGATCGTATAAACAGGCCCTGTGTCGCAGTAGGTACATGCTGGCACGAAAAAGACCCTTCCCCGATCGATGGCCCAGAGTGCCCAGCATAGGACAAAAAATTTACAGTTCTCCACTGGTAAGTGGTGGTGTCTCTATATGAGTAAAAAATTCTCAAGAGGTACGTTAAAAAATTAACAATCAATCGATCATTTTGTGTCTGTTTATTCTGGAAACATTATAAAAAAGTTAAACTGAATACACATGCTCATATTTAAGTCATATGAACTATGCATATGATTTCAAAACAATCTTTTACAAAAGAGTTTATACTTAAAACTGTTTTTAAAAAGAGATACTAAATACATTTCTAAAAATAAGAAATTGTATAAAGTGAAATATTTTAGTTAACTGACTCACATTTTTGTAAATTTAAGGCTACAGTACATGTTCTATCTCCATTAAATGTCAATTCTCCTGCCATTGAGGACAAATTTGTAGGTTGCTGTATACCATGGAGTGTTACATCAGTTATATTCTTTTGATTCGGTTTGCCTTGTATGAGCAGTGTTCTATAACCATAGCTCCCAGTGGCTGTGACAGTGATTCCATCAAAAGTCAACACAGCTGAGGTTAATATTTCATCTTTATTTCTTGGGGTCACATTCATTTGAATCTTCTCCGAGGGTCGATCAGGGCAGGTATAAACACCTCCCCACAAGCTTGGCAAAAGTTCTGTGGAATCTGTGAAAGAAAGGAATTTTCCCCACATCTTTAAAATACATTTAGGAAACCTTTATGATGTAAAATTCGATATTAACTACTTAGTACAGTGTGCATCAAATTCATTGCTTTACATGTGAGTAATAAGGATATTCTTTATTTTATATCACGTGTGAGTTTTTTTTTTTTATCAAACAGCTTTTAAAATCAATCAATCAATCATTTTTTGTCTGTTAACACTTTACACAGACACATATAGTTTAATTAACAGTAACAATAAGCTATGTCGTAAATGTTTTTTGATTGTTGATAACCTTGGAAATTATATTTATGCATTTAAGTACTCTATGTTTTTGATTGGTGATTTAAAAAATATATATACATTCTTCACCTGTATTCGGTTTTTATATATCTCTGAGTCAGTTGATTCGAAGCGCAAAAATGATCGAGGTAGAATACTGACAAACAAGTTGATGAAACAGAAATATTAGCAGTCTCGTATAAAGTCATCCTTTCGTAAGTTCTACGGTCGATACAATGACATTGTCAGCAAATACAATCTATCATTGAATCAAATGTTGACTGACCTTTTTCACAGTCATTGTTACTCCATTATTTTGTACATAGCAAAAAATAAGCTGACTAGCTGACCTAATGTCCCTCTATTCGTCTAGCTAGAGCTGATGTTGATACAAAATGTTTTATTGATTTTTCTATATGTGTGAATCAAATGACTTCATAGTTATTCGAGATATATATATACTAATTTGACTCCGATGTAGTACAAGTTGCCATCTTTCACTAAAATATAAATTTGTAACTACAGAGTAGAGAGTGAAAAAAGCTGTTAGAAGCACATGAACACTGACCTTTATAAAATCCGCAGTCTCCCACACCCCCGGGGATCTGCACGTCACAGTCTTTCCCTGTCCACCCGGCATGACAGATCTTCTCTCCGCTGACTCCACATTTATAATGGCCACTACAGCCATAATCCTCAGCAACACAATTAATGTCACAGTCTGGTCCATAGTAGTTCTGGTCACAGTATGACGACACGCTCAAATTCAACCTAAAGCCAAGAAATGTGCGGTGCAAGACTGTCAAATCTAAATCTAATTTTTTTACCATATACACAGATTTATTCAAAATTACTCATGTAATTTGTACAATAATCCGCCTATTCAGGAGCACTGTACAAAAATATTCGGAAAATTCCGAAAATGAAGAAGTTATTGATAAATAAGTGGATGATACCAGGATACCACCAGAGCTTTCAAGTTTTGCAAATAACTCGATACCATTATGATAGTAGTGTAAACTAAAACAATCTATCGAATGTTGTCTGGCGTTTCGGCAGCGAAAAAGTACTAGAGTTAACTATGTAAAAATCAAAATTTTTCACTGTACTAAATCAAAGTATTTTACTATGAATTTCAGATAGATATATTTTAATTTTTTAATTCCTACAAGTGAGTTTCTAATTTTAATGAGATTTTTTGTTCAAAACATTACATTATTGGAATTAAGTTTAAAAAATATTAAGGCTCTAAATTTTAATTTAAGTCCAATAATAAAGTTCTACAGTAAATCAAAGTATTCAATATAGCTTATTAGATTTAGTAAGTTTTTGTTAGGTTTGATTCTCAATTCATTTGTAAGGCCATTTTTCAAACACTAAGTTGTCTAGACGGATTTTTCCTTTTTACTGCTCATCATGCTCAGGAGCAACGGCGGGTTTACTCCGATGTTTTATAGGCCTTTGTTTTCTAATAATTTGTTTTGTTTGTTAATATCATGTTTTACTCGTAGAATTGCTTTGAAAACCTATTTAACTATATAATTAATATTTTACAAATAAAATTATAATGTAGACGGCAACATAGCAATTTGTTCTTTGTTTGTGGCTAACTGGGTACTTATTCAAAGAATCAAGTACATATACATGTACTATATTATTATATAGCTAATAAATAGTCTCTAATAAAATACTACCAAAAATCTAGAGAATTTTAGCGTTCAATATCTTGACTTTTTATTGGACGCTGAGTTTGTATTACGTATACTAGTATGCCTCGTTGTAAAAAAGTCGTCAAGTGAAATTCACAGAGCTTAATCAACGAATTGAAGTGGCATCTAGGTAAGATGTGTTTATTTTTCACACAAAATGAAATTATTTATTAAAAATTTAGAACGTATTAGACCCATTAAAACCTAAATAATCAAATCATATCGCTCGGTAGGGTCATCGGAATGATAACCCTATAATACAAACTTGGATCTTAGTTGTGGTCTGTCTCCATTGAATAGATAATCCTGGTACTCTATCACTGTGGAGTTATAGAAGGCAGCAGTGTTGAATACAAAATGGAAAGTATCAACCAATACTGAGGCCCCTCCTGTGTCCTGGTCTGTCACATTCACTTTTATAAACAAGGGATCCTGTAAGAACGATGTATAAACATCAAACCAAAATAGAAATAACAAAACAAATCCCTAAAGCATTTATACGTTAAAATAAATTCTAAAGTCAAACTATCTTTTGTTAAACTGAACAATAATGTTTCGAATGCAAATAAATGTTTGCATAAAGATCAGGTGCCATGGAGGAGTGAGCATCCCCTGCCGACCGGTCACACTCGTCGTGTGCTCCTTGTCATGTTCGGAAAAAAACAACGGAAGAATCCATGGACAACTCGATTTGTAAATAATGTTCTAACAATCAGTATGAAAAAAAGTCAATCAACATTTCATTGAATAACTTTCATCTTAGATAGTGGTTGTATGCCTGTGAGATCTAAATCAAAAGTCAATGTCTTTTATATTACTACAAGATTTGTTTTTCACAATACACTGAATGTCAAACAATAAAAAAAATGCAAAACTCTAATCAAAATATTTTATTCTCTTTCCGATCTCTGAGCAGTTCATTTTCATAACATGGAAAAATATACCTTCAGACTGGTTGTGATGGGAAATATGAGTTTCTGACTCTCATTGAAGTAAATGTTGTTGTAGTTTGGCTCAGGGATAACCTGTTTTGTTCCATATGTGCAGTCAAATCCTCCACGATTTCTCCTTCAAAAATAAAACAATTATCAATTCATAGATCCAACCACAGGGGCATCTTATCCACTTTGTTCTCTGCTTCACATATAAAAATACAGATCTAGAGGTGTGTATTTTTATATGTGAAGTAGAGAACAAAGTGGATAAGATGCCCCTGTGAGCAAACTATGTTTAAATCTTGACAAAAAAAATCAATGATGTTAATGTCTCGTTCAGCGATACCTCTTGTACACAGCCAAATCCGTCTTGAAGTGTTCGTTTATGCACGTTTCGAAAATGCAAATCTATACCGGTATTGTTCTTACAGCATCTTATTTTTAAAAAGTTATAAATGTATCAAATATGCCTAAAATTCATGTCTTTGATGTTTCACCTATGGTTTTCAATTCAATGAAAAATTAAAAAAGCGATAAAGACTTGATTAGAAATTGTTGAATTCTAACTAAAACAATTTTTAGACTATAGATGAAATATGTGAACGCTGCTGGATTATGATTGTGTATACATATTCAAATAGAACTGTACCATAGTATAAATTTCACAACTGCCATTTATAAATTTCACAACTACCATTTTCTATAAATGATATTTGACAACAAATCTTGATTTCATTTGATCTATTTGTAAACAAGAGAGTAACATAAGACATCATACCATAAATGTAAAGTTCCCTTTTCTATAATTTAACTCACCCTACGCATATGTCAATCTTTAAATCACATTTGTCCAGTTGACATCTTAACACATCTGAATCACAGCAAGACCCATTGAAGTCTGTTCCTGTAGGGTTATCGTACGAGTGAAGTCTCACCACAAACTGCCCGGTACCAACTACCACCTTATTGTAAGAAAATTGCAAGCATTTTCTAGAAAACATAACAAAAATTGAGGGAGGGACATCAACATTTCTACGCTTACTCAAGTTTATTGAGTTATATATTTATTAGCTCACCTGAGCCAAAGGCACAAGTGAGCATTTTGATTCGAAATTTGTCCGTTGTCTGTCGTCGTTGTCATTTTTGTTGTAAACTTTTTCACATTTTTATCTTCTTCTCCAGAACTACTGGGACGATTTCAACAAAACTTGGCACAGAGTATCCTTGGGTGAAGGACAAACGCAGAGCCACTTCCTCGAAAATTTATTGGCATCATTGAAAAATCTTCTTCTCAAGAACCAATGGGTCAGGAAAGTTGAAACTCATAAGAAATCGTTGTCAGGAATGTAGATTTAAATTTGTTCAAATCATAACGCCCAGGGGTATAGGTGGGGGCCATAATGGACGAATAAAGTTTTACATAGAAAAAAGAGGAATTATCTTCAAAATACAGCAAAGCAATGATCGGTCATATTTACGAGGGGCGTTCAATAACTACATGTAATGTCATTGGGGCTCGGAAAGAAACAAAAAACGCTCCTCAATGATTTAGTCCCAATGATTTAACTAAAATATTCTCTTTGAATTAAAACACATGTCCATAGCATTTTCATTTAATTTCGAATTGTTTTTAGAACACATTTTTGAGTATGACCCTTCCTATACTGGAATATGGCAGATCCTATGATTTGCTGTACTTGTTTTTTCTTTCTGATAGATGTTTTTCTAAGTTTGGGAAATGAAACAAGTCAAAGGTTGAAAGATCTGGCAAATTTTTTTGGTGTGACAAAACATTAACTTTCTGTTTATCCCCAAAACTCCTTTACTCTTCACGGCCTGTGTGTTTGGACGCTGTCATGAAGAAATTTAATGTATTGAATTCCTCATTCTGTTTCTTTCCTCTCATAAACCTTTCAATATTTTTGCAAAAAAATTGTTTTCTAGACTCTTCCAGAAATTGAACTTCCTCCCCGAATATGAATTTGAACAACAAGACCGCTGATATTTAAGAAAATAGCATATAAAACTGTTTTTGTGCTCTTGCAGTTCTTTGCTCTTCTTAGGCGTTTGCAGGTTTGTCAAGTGCATCTTATTGTAAATTTGTTTTGAGGGTTCAAAGCAAAATGGATTCAAGTACCATTATCTGTTTGAATTTCAGACAAACGTGGATAAGTACAATTTTTGATTTTTTTAAAACAATTGTTTAGATATTCCTACACGCTGTCCTTTTCACTCATTTTTCAAAATATAGGGTGACCTTTGAGCATTTAAACTTTTTTACTATCAAATGTTTCTTTAAAACAGTATGACTTACCCCCAAAGTGATTTTTATCAATTTTTCTATGTGTCTTAAAGTCGATGAAACATAATCATTGATAATTTGTTGAATTTTCGCGAATCTACAATGGTTGTTGGTAGCCAAAATTGCCAAGGACGGTACCCATTTTTGATGCCCATTATATGATTTTTGTTGATTAAAATCTACTTGTTCACGTGTCTATAAAACAGCCATTGGTTGCTGTAAATTTCCCATTTTAAAATATATTTTTGGGATATCTAAAAGTTTTAGAGTTGCTTTAATGAAGCGTTTAATTTCACTATTGTTTACTGATTCTTGACCATTCATTTTTAATGCAGTGTCTCGAATAGCCCTTGTTTTCCAGCTTCCCACAATGAAATAATGCGATGAAAAGTGGTCACATAAACTGTTATCAATTCATTAAAGATTCAACAATGAGAGAAAGGCAAGCTGAATGCCATATGACTTCTATGTTGTATGTCATCGAGCTAATGACATTATTTATTGAATCTCAGGTGGTGTAGATTCAAGTTTGTTCAATGGGCGATCAAAGTACTTCATAAGAATATACATGTATTGGAAAAATCATCAGAAGTCTTGTTTCCAGAACAGCAAAGAAAGCAATGATTGGCCATATTTATATGGAAGCATACTCAGGTACGTGGTGTAGAATTAAGTTTGTTCAAAAAACGACCCTAGGGTATGATGGAGCCGCAATTGACAATCAAGTTTTACATAGAAGTGTATATGAAAAATCTTTAAAAATCTTCTCAAGAACAGCAAAATCATTGGTCATACATGTATTTATATGGAAGCATCCTCGGGTAGTGTTGATTCAAGTTTGTACAAATTAAGGAAGGACGGGACCACAATGAAAGTGTAACCCTGTAGGGGAAAAGTCACAGGCGAAGAATATTCTATTCTGTGAGAGAAAGAAGGGAAATTTCGGATACTATGTGAGATTTCCCCCAGGTGAAATCCTTCTCTTGAGTACAGTTGCCAAGGGTACATGTTGTTATGGGAATAATCATACAACACTACACTGTTCTAGTAAAGTAAGATTTTTCCTCTGAAATCTCCCCCCAAAAACGTACTCTAAAGTAGGATTCCACTTTAGAAAGTATCCCGAAGAAAAATAATTCGAGAGTAGGCTTTTCTCCAGATTTCACCAGATTTAATGATTAATAAAATTTTCCTGGGAGACGGAAGGTGGCTACACTGTATAATAGGTAGAAAGAGCGATTTCCTGCGCTGCCGATTTTCCCCCAGTAAAAGGGTTGACACCTTGAAACAAATGTCTTTTCAAAAATATAATTAAGTGCTCCAGGTGTCTTAATAAGATCAAACAAAAATTATATTAAAATAAGTTTAGTTTTGCATTCAACTTTTTTTTTCACCTAATTTGCGACCGGTTCTATATGAACATTTCATTTCATATAGAATTTAAAATTTGTGAAGAAAGTACCAAAAATATTTGATGTGTTGAGAAATCGAGTCTTCCAATTTGATTACTTTTACAATTTATTACTAGTTAAAATTTTAATTTGGGTTCAGACATTATCTGAACTACAAAAAGTTTTCATGTTATAATTGATCCTTAACTATCACACAACTCTACGACAACTGTCTTTCAAATATATGTACTTTCTTCTATTAATCTGTTAAAATATGTATTAGGGATACATCAAAGTAGTCTAAATGATATATATTAATTTCAGTAGTATTTATTTTAATTTTGAATCATTTAAATATAATTTTCAATGAATTTTATGAACATGCAAACTTACCCCAAATAAAAATGTTACAAGTCCTACGATAGAAAACGCTTCGTTCATTTTGAGATATAGATGTCAACTGTGAAGAGTGAAATGAGGGTATCGCCCATTTTGTCGCTTCTGCGCAATAGAAGGAATTGGAAAAAGCAAGTCAAGACAAGAATTTGTACTCACTGTGCTTTTTCATTACAAACTAAGCTTTGTTAAAAATACATTATTATTTTTTTTATTTTAATCAAAGATAAGGCAGATGTTCTGCTAAATCTTAACAAAACCTTACAACTTATAAGTGATGATTTTGGTTTATTTCTTTATCCTTAAAGAAGTTTGATAGGACATTCCATCCGAAGAAAATAGACAGTTATACGAGGATGAAGTTTGAGAAAATGATATGATGTACAAATGTTAAAGGTGAAGATAATAAACGAACTGAAATCTTTGTAACATCAACTTATCAGCAAGTAGCATGCCTACTTTAAAAAAAAATGAACGTACTCAAAACAAGCTCTTGATTAGCTAATAGGACAGTTCTTTTCGAAAAAAAAACTCACTCTCTACATAATGAACTGTGAATGTGATGCTTTGATATCCCTGAACAAAGTTAGAGAAATTTTTACATCCCTTTCATAACACGTTTTAAGATTTTACCGTTTTATAACCAGTCTGCAATCTTTCTGCATTGCAAATTCCAAAAAATCGAGTGAAACTTGATATAAAGAAGCTTTTTATTATGGAGAGATAGGTACCCCGGTATTTGTTCAAGATCTCCGAACACCTCATAAAGACGATTTATGATAAAACTTTTATGCAGTTTCTTTGATGTTGTAGAACTATATATTACTCTTTATATTTTCTGCTGTTCAGTTTCTTGGTTTAAATAAGCATTACATGGAACAGTTTTCTTTGATGAAACGTTACATCAGGAAGAACAAATAATGGTATCTCAGATATCACTTTTATCCATTACATCACGGTCATTGACATATTATAATTATTTCCGCGTGGTGCATAAACAGAAATCAGAGTGAATCAGAAGTGTATGGCACGCCAAATTCACAAAAATGAGCTAAAAATAGTTTCACAGTCGATAAGCTGGGTTGTTTACGGACTGTCTATATTTTACATCTGTAAACCATAGTTAACGCGAAAATCTATGTTTCACAACCGTAAACTATACTTAACACCGAAAACAATCATTTGCGATTGCAAAACATAGATTATCTGATAAATACAGTTTCACGATTTGTAAACTATAGTTTACAAACCGTTAACTATAGTTATCGATCTGATAAATATAGTTTCTCGATTTATGAAACTATGATTAACAACTCTTAACTATAGTTTACGATTGTAAACTATAGCTTACAAATGTGAATCTATGTTTATCAACAAAATCTATTGTTAACGCTTTGTTACACACAGATAAACTTAGATTAGCATTCGTAAACTATAGTTAACGACCGTTAAATAAAGTTTTACAGATGAAAACTATTAGTTAACGAATTGTTAACTATAGTTACCGGTCTGTAAACTATAGTTTACAATCGATAAACTTAGTTTATCAACTGTGAAATTATGTTTAGCTCATTTTTGTGAATTTGGCGTGCCATAAAAGTGTGCTGTCCATTTTCATGAATTTGATTTTTGCAGTTAACTTTAATCATAAATTCATGTGAATAAATCTAAAAATCATGATTGAACTATTTTTCTATATCGTATGGTGGCATATTTCTGCCCCCTACAAGCAAGATAAATTATGTAAACATGCAAGAAAAAAAATGTCAACATGCAAAATAATTATGTTGACATGCAAGTTACAAATCTTTTAAGAGAATGTGATTTTAAAATGGGTAAAATCCCGTACTGACGCATTTCTCTGAAAAAGTGTCAAATAGGATATTTTCTTTCGTTGGGATTAATTTGATGAAATGAGAAAAATTCCACGGTCATTTCAATTTGTCAATGAGACATGTCCTCCCATACTTTGTTAAACAATTGGCGGGATATACCCAATATATAATATTTATTCTCTTTAGAGAAGTGGAGAGGCTTTCGCCTAAGTAGGCGAAATCCTCTTCACTTCTCTAAAAAGAATACCCATATATCATGATTAAATAGTGAGATATATCTTTATTAATATTATTTATTTCTTAAAAATATATAAAATTCTGTCGGTTTGAAAAGGAGCATAGTAATAGTTAACAAGTGAACAATGAATCATATTGTTAAATAATGTCAATGAGGAAATGCAGCCCAGGCAGCTTTGTTTAATATGAACTTCAGAACACGGACATAGTAAAGCATTTTGTCATGTATGCCCTCCCTTTTCATACCAAGAAAGCGAAAGGAAAAGTAGAGTGGAAAGTAAACCAGTCGGTATCTGCAAAGATAAATATGATATATCATTTTCATATACCTCGTGTTCTATTATGCAGTGTATAATTATTGGTGAGTAATAATTACTTCAGTAGTTTGATATACGCCCTGCTAATTATTACGTTACACATAGTTATGATCATCTTCCCACACCCAACATATGGGGGTGCGGAATGGTGACATTCAGGGGCACGGATTTTGAAGTGGAATGTGCAAGGTAAGTTGGCCTGATTTATAGCTTTATTACAGTGCTTGAGATGAAAATTATCCTATATTAACTTACGACGGAACACAGTGATGTCCCAGCTTACTGTTACTCGTTTCCCAGCTCGACTTTTGCAATATCTGGTAAGAGTATGCGGGAACGGAAATTTGACCGTTTCTTGGTGAAAATTCGTGCTTAATATATTCTTCAACTTCATCTGGCTTATGTGAGGGACTTCTAGATATGATTTTGCTCCAAACACTCTAATGTTTCCACCTCAAATAAAGGGGACATACTTCAATTTCAGTGTGTGGCACTCATTGATAAAAATTTTAATGGCGGCCGGGGAAAGGAATAATTTTTATTCATTGCATTTCGATCGTAATTCTTAGGTATACCTTTACTCAGATGACTAAAAATTCCAGCGATAAGAACGAAAAACCATCTCTTGCACATTGTACAACTATGATTCTTGTATTAAAATTTCAATATCAAATAACTAGGTCAATGACCTACTTTCCATGTTAGTGGCCCCTCAGCTAGTATTTCTCGGAAAATACCTAAATTTTTTAGACTATGACCAATTTTTTTCTTTACTCACAAAATATTACAAGCAACAAAACTCTTTAAATAATGAAATATCATAGCAATGGAACAGCACTGCTTCATATAAAGAAACGATTAGGGCGTGTTTGATTTAAACACGAGCTGCAACTCTAGAGTCGGATTTCTAAATCAAACACCTCGAACACGACACATGAACATACTCTCCAATTTTACAAGAGTGAACAAGAACAAAGATGGCTGCCAACATTGACAAGGGAGGAAAAGTGGGCGAGGCAGATGTTTGGTTAAGATTTTAGAAATAAATTATCATTTTAATTTGTAAATTAGGATATTAGCTAATACTTCAGAAGAGGGGGGATGAGAAATATTGTTTCACTCACAAATGTACCAATTTTTGCCACATTACATCTGTTATTCGTGGATTTTAGTCAGAAGAAAATAATCAATAAATATTAGTCGTTTTCCCCAATATCACCCTTTTCCTTGCTTTCCAAAAATATCATCAATAAAACATAGGGAAAACAATGTCTGGACATTTTCAATGCACTCGAGTTGAGTTCTTGCCGTTTGATTTAAAAGAGACTGTGTTCGTTTGTGCACATGCTCGATATCAACCCGACTCGACACTAGAGTTGACAAATCAAATACGCCCTTGGAGTTTGGACCATAAATTTTATGATTATTACAGTCCGGATTTCCTCTGTCATATTTATATTTTCCCCCCATTTTAATCGAATATTTAAAAAAAATCTGAATAAGAACTCTAAATTATTCATAGCCTCATATTACTTTTGTTGCTCTGATTCGCATGGTAATGATATTATATGGGGTCAGTGATCAAATTATTGAGATATATTGTCTGGAATGGTTTATGTACATATTTTTGAATTTCTTTATTGCATAGCATTCAATTATTTGAAATAATTTTTTGAGATTAAACACATATAATATTTGCAAAATGATGTTTAAAAATACATGTAACCTTTACATTGTAATTAATATTGCAGGAAATAATAAATGTGACAAAAATGAAAAATTTAGTCTGAATTTCCTCTGCATAACCATGCGTTGATTTTTGTTCCTGTTTATTTTGTTCGAATAATAAAATATTAAATTTTTAAATTGATATTGAGTGAAAACTTCTATGATTATTTTATCCATATAGACCCATTTTTGATTTAACATAATCATATTATACTTTATAAAATTTTCTTTTTGTTTTCTGAAACCTGAGTAAACGTCATCATTAAATCAATATCTGCTCTGTTTTGATTGTTTAGACCTGGTTATAATTGAAATTTGAAAAAAATAAGACCCAAGGAAGAAGTGGTCAAAGAAACTGTGGTCTATAGTTCACTTTCCATTCTAAGGTAAAAAAAAAATAAATTTGAAAAAAAAATTGAGAAAGCTTAATTAAAGCTGTAGTCAAGGAGGAACTTCAAGAGTACTGTGCAACAATATATTCAAGAAGTGGTGTAAATCAGATGTGGATATTGAAAATTCCAAGGAACACTTTTGGAAAATTTGAAATCACAAGATTTTACCAAAATCAACAGCAAAACTTTCGACTTTTCAACTTTATACACAGTCATTCCCCGCGAAATTTACTTACTTTGTCATTGGTCATTTAAAAAAAATTATCATGTTAAAAATCTTTCTGATTGTACACAATAGTACTCTGAAGTCGACATCAAAAAGATGCTTGAGCTACTGATTGACAATGTTTATGATGTTTTTGGAGACCAACAATCTATTGGAATTCCCATGGGTACCAATTGCGCCCCGTTATTAGCAGATCTATTTTTGTATTCATATGAAGAAGAATTTGTGCAAAATCCTATGCGCGAAAAGGAGAAGACACTTGCTGTGACCTTCTACTCAACATTTAGATATATGGACGACGTATTGTCAATTAACAATTGTAATTTCCATTCTTATGTCGATACGATATATCCTGGAGAGCTTGAGAAAAAAGATACCACAGAGTCTGACACATATGTTTCATATTTGGATATTTTACTTGAAAAAGACGTTAATGGTAATCTAACAACCAAGCTCTATGATAAACGTGATGACGTCAACTTTTCTATCGTCAACTTCCCTTACTTATACAGCAATATACCTTCATCACCTGCATACGGCATGTATGTATCTCAGTTGATTCAATACTCCAGTGCATGCTCTACCTATGAGCAATTTCTAAACGAGGTAAATCATTGAAAAACAAGTTGATGAAACAAGAATATTAGCAGTCTCGTTTAAAGTCATCATTTCGGAGGTTCTATAGTCGATACAATTAACTTGTCAGCAAATACAATTTATCATTGAGTCAAATGCTGACTGACGCTTTTCATACATATGTTAGTCCATTATTTATACACTGAATGGACGATGGGTTTTTCCGTTATGTACCGATCATGACGAGGAGCAAAGGGCGGGTGTGACCGGTGGGCAGGGGATGCTTACTCCTCCATGGCACCTGATCCCACCTCTGATGTTTCGGAGGTCCGTGTTTGCTCTGCTCCTGTTTTGTGTTGTTTTATGGACTTTTGATCTTAAATACTATACTGGTAGTTTTCTCCGTGTGTTTCATTCAAATTACTTAGTTTTCCAGTTTCTTACACAGCAGATCCATGTTTTACTTAATCTAAACTTTGTCATTTGTTGATATACTTCTAGATGGTCAAATATGGCGAGCTAAATGCCTTTGTTGCGACTAATATGAAGGTGAAATATTAAAAACACAATTTTTAGATAGGAGTGGGCCTTCTATCCATTTTTCTAAAGAAAGTTTGCGTAAAATTTAAAGTTTTTGGTTAGAAAAAAATGGAGCAAAGACCCAATATCCTTTAAAGTACATTTTTATGACACAAAATTCGATTTTTTCCGAGAAATACTTCAAGTTCGTTAAGGGTCATATCACAAACATGATTTAAATGCCATTTTTCATCAGGAGTTGTGTAGCGAGTTCTCAGTTGATAGTGATACTCATATGCAGGATTTTTATTGCTAGGGAGTTCGAACCCCACGAATATCATTTACAATAACAGGGATATTTTTTTCGTGAGCATTTTCCTCAGAAAAGTTTTATTTATCATTTATTCAATAATAAAAAAAAATTGCTCTAAAATGAGTCTTAATACTATTTACACGAATTGAATATGATTTTTATAAATACTCAGTGTCTGAAACTATGGTCATTCTGAACGCTTAATTGTTCGCCCATCTCCTTTCCTTTCAATAGTCAGCATATTTAACTTCACTGAACACACATATTTGAAATTCTTAATCAGTTCTAAATGTAGTATAAACTACTGCTCAAGTGTCTATTAACTGTAGATGAAAGATATATATATATATATATTAGTATATATCGAAATGTACAAATAGATGTCTATTAAACAGTGTAAATATGCATTAAAGCACACTTATTCAAGGAAGAGGGTTTATGAAAGAGTTAATAAATTGATTGTAGCAATTCATTTCATGCATAATCAATATAATTTTTGTAGAAACAATTCATTTCTATTAGTTGGAGATTTATTCCTTTCTCCGGCCTCCACTTAAATTTGTACCCCTGAGTGCCACACACTGAAATTGAAGTCTGTCCCCGTTATTAGAGGGGCAATTGTCGGAAACATTGGAGTGTCTGGAGCAATATTTATCTAGAAGTCACTCACATAAGCCAGATGAAGTTGAAGGATAAATAAGGCACGAATTTTTACCAAGAAACTATCAAATCTGCGTTTCCTCATGCTCTTACCAGATATTGCAGAAGTGAAACCAGTAACAGTAAGCTGAGATATCACTGTGTTCCGCCGTAAGTTCATACATGAACACTTTCATCTCAATACTGTAGGAAAGCTAATCAGGTCAACTTACCTTGCAAATTCCGCTTCAAAATCCGCGCCCCCATATGTAGGGTTATACGCGGTGTTCCCAAGGCCAAGTCAAGGGTTACTTCTGGTGCGGAGTTTGAATTGGGAAACAGACAGTTTTCAATCATTAACAGCAACAAACGTTTTTATATTTTATAAACTTGCCACGGAAAATCGATCGCAAAATGATACAAATTCACTGTAACGCTTCATCACTGTGTTCATTTGCTACAAGAACCAGTCTGAATATTATCCAAAATAATACCGGGTATGTAAATGACTCAAGTATATTGACATATATTTTTAAAACAATTGTAATTCCAGGTTTATTAAACAAGCACACGCTCACCAAGAAAATCATAAACTCAATAGACCGTTTGAAGTGTACAGAAAAATAGATCACATGAGATAAACATAGTTTCACTGTCGATAAACTAGGTTTATCGGTTGTAAACTATAGTTTACGGAGTGTAAACTATTAGTTAACAACGTTAATCTATATTTAACATCAGTAAACTATAGTTAACGCGATAATCTATGTTTCACAACCGTAAACTGTACTTAATTAACACTGAAAACAATCATTTGCGATTGCAAAACATAGATTTAAGGAATCATTGTCTAGTTAGTATAGTATGCCAGGGCATCAACAATAGTGGGAAACATGGGATAATTTGCATAACGGGCGAATGCATTAATTATCCCATGTTTCCCACTATTGTTGATGTCCCTGGCATACTATACTAACTAGACAGTGATTCCTTATATTTCCATTTTATTGTGAAATAAAAATGTAGATTTAGACTTTAAAATGCAGACATAGATTTAAATTACACGAGGATTCCCATCCCAATTTCAATAGTCTCCTCGCCCACTAACGTCAAACACAATGGCAGCCGCATGCATATGATTTTCATGCATATTTGGCCTCCTTAGCATCAGACTCGGAGACAGATGTGTACGAGATTTTCATTCATATAAGGCCTCCTTAGCTCCTGACCTATTGACCTGCCTAATTTACATTCCGGTAGAATTATCAAGAAATTAACTCCGCTAACTTTCAAAGAGTTATCACAGAGAGAGAAATTAGAAATGGAAATATTATCTGATAAATACATTTTCATGATCTGTAAAATATGGTTTACAACTCTATAGTTAACGATCTGATAAATATAGTTTCACGATTGATAAAACTATGATAAACAACTCTTAACTATAGTTCACGATTGTAAATTATAGTTTACAGACGTCAATCTATGTTTATCAACAAAATCTATCATTAATTTTTAATACAGACAGATAAACTTAGATTAGCATTCGTAAACTATGGTTTACAACCGTTAGATATACTGTAGTTTACAGATGAAAACTATAGTTAACTATAGTTAACGAATTGTTAACTACAGTTTACGGTTTTTAAACTATAGTTTACAGTCGATAAACCTACTGTGTAACAATGTTTAGCTCATTTTTGTGAATTTGGCGTGCCATACACATGCCTATCCGTGGCTTGTTACACTCCATGGATTGAAGAAATTGTATGCGTCATTTTTTATTCAAATTCTCTATCTAGACGGTTATAAGTTTTTAGTTGAAGTGCTTAATAGGGTGTTTTCTATTGAAGTGATTTAAACAAGAGTTATTCCCCGTGGGCCACCATATTGTTGGTCAACATTCTAAGATCCCTTCATAATTCAACAAGCTTCAATTTATATACTGGTTACTGGGGTAAGGAAAACACTATTTTTCTTATTAATATACATTTTTAAAGCCCCTATAAATTCAAAATTTTAAGATTGCAAATATTCTCTCCCATATATTTCTTGCATGCATGCTTAAAATTGTACGCTTAAAGAGGAAAATTCACTACTTTGCCCAGATGGCGGCTAAGGGGAATAACTCCGAGTCAAAATACGTCAGAGGAAAAGGGTCTTAGAGATTCACTTCTTCATCAATCATGTTCATCAAATTGCCAAAGTGACAACTTCATTCTTGGTGTTGAAAAACATTTAACAATTTTATAGCAAAGTTTCATTTTCGTGACTTAAAAAAAATGAATAGTTTTTTTTTCTTAATGAAGTTTTCCAGAATTTTTTTTTTTCGATTTATACAAACCCAGCATTTAAGGATCAGATTTGAAGTTTGTTCAAATCGTTAACACAATGCAAAAATAGTTTTTCAAAATTAAAATGATGAGATAAATTGCCGGTTACGCAGATTCAATCTGTAAAACTTTTTATTTATGTTTTGGCAATGCTGATCAAGGTATTACCTGGTGTAAGGTTACGTATGCAATGGACCAAAAGATTGATACTTACTGTATTTTCTTTGTCTCAAACTTATTTGAAATTTTAATAAATTGGATGGGGAAAGGAGTTATACAATTGTATGATTTATTTTCAAAGAATTCAATTTGACACTGCACAATTGAAAAAAAAAACACCTTTTTTCTTTGCAGTTACAAAATGAAAAGGATAGATTTTCTACACGGAGTAATATATTTATCTTTCATTATCCTGTCTCCATTTGCTTTCAATGTCTATGGATATTTGGACGAACCTTCATACACAGACACCACCCATGAAAATTCATTCTATGGAAAAACAACAGTACCCGTACGCGCTTACAGAGCATATGGGTTGTATTTGTTATCTGTGTACTGTTTTTTGTCCATTATAATAATTTCGTTATTAGTGGACCCTATCGCTAGACAAGTTTCAAGACTTCAAATAGGATGCTACCGTCCTCACTTGATTTACCATACCATGGTCTGCCTAATTCCAGTCGTCATAAGATATGTAAACATGAACGGCGAAATACAAGATGACGCCATGCTACATATGCAATGGAAAAATCTTTATATAATTATTCTATCAGTTGTGCGTTTTATTTGTGCTTTCATGATATCAATAGCTCGAAGATACAAACTATGGAGACTGCTGTTATATATATTAACCACGATAGTTCATGCTATTATTGTTTTTAACGTTGTATACAATATTTGCTCAACTTCTGAGGATCTTTTAGACGTCATGAAAGAAAGTAATGGGAACTTCTTCACAAAATGGTCTCATGTTGATCACAAGCAATTACCAGGAAATTCATCTGAGCTTAACGTAAGTAAGATGAACGTTATTTATAATTTTCTACATTTGGATCAAAATCTTTTCCTGAATACGGGGGAGAAAAAGTACTTCTATAAAAGTAAATATAAACTAACACAAATAAAGGAAGGAAATGAACAAAGGCTCCCATATCATCGTGAAGTACATGTTATAAGTACTGGAGAAAGTATCACCCTTCACTGTAATGCTTTATTGAATGGAAATACATGTAACTTAGGACGCGTTTTCTGGACTTCAAGGGGAAGAAATGTATCTTCAATCAATAGCCAAAGCAAAATAACAACAGACTTCCAGAGGGTTCAAGACGATAAGATGTCTGTGAAAAGTTCCCTTCAATTTGATGCCAGAAAAAAATCAGACTTTGGGAAATATAGCTGTTCTATTTATTTTGAAGATTTTTCCATTGAGTCGCTTTATTATCAGAACAACAAAGCAAGTACATTCATTAAGGCGTCTGAATATCTCATTGGCCAGTACCACATAAAAAAATATAGAGGAAACAAATATTTTGTATATGCGACACCAGGTAGTGTTGTTAACCTTGAATGGAGTCCAATGTCTTTTAAGAGTGAACGACGTGACATCTTTCAGTATTATTATGTTAATGGTGCCCTTTATTCGAATGGAAAAAATGGGAGGTGTTCAGCATTTTCGTATCTATATATTTTGTATGGAAAGTTAATGAATTGGTTTACTATTCCCGAGTTCTCTTCATCTTCGGATATTTTACTCAACCGTTTTGAATCCTACCAAACACACTTCCTTGGATGTGCAGTTGATGGGTTCTTTGGAGTTCACAGAGTTGTGTATTTGCGTCGAATATACGACAAAAAATCTCGAGCTGACATCTTTATTGAAGTTAAACATCCTGACACTCTGATTGTTTTGCCCGACCAACCTTATTTCTTTAAAATGGACAACACAACAAAGGCAGACAAAGAGAAGATCATACGAAAAATTCAAGATTTCAATATGGAATATACATGGTTTGAAAACACCCATAAAGGGATACTAGCATTTCTTCTTATCATTGAAGTTTCAGTCCTCCTTCTTATAAGTATTTCTCTAAAATATGTGTTATCAAAAATATGGCATATATACACACGCTTTGTAATTCTGCCAATAAGAAGTTTCTCTTTAGGAAAACCAATTCTGGAGAAGTCGGAGAGCAATATTGTTGAATTTGGTAAGGAATACTCGTGCTACGTAGTTTCTGGTGACAGTGATAAAGAACTTGTCTACAATAGCCTTGTTCTTCCTTTGAGAGAGAAAAATATCACGACAGGATTTATTTTCGAGGAATGTAACATAAACAAAAGTGGCAAATCTGAATTTGACATTCAAAGCGACATTATCAAACAATGTGAAAACTTGATTTTTTTCGTTACATCTTCATATTTGAAAGAAGAAGCTTTTCTAGGCATTCACCTCGATACGGTTCTACAGTGTATTCAGATGGAGAACATGTCTCCAAACAGTGTGTTACTTATTTTCTCCGATTCCTGTGAATTACCTGATAAATTACGATATAACTTACCAGAGGCAGTTGTACACGACTGGTTAAAAAGTACCAACCATGGATCTCATACTCAAGTGGATTAAAAAGAAAAAAGCAAGGACGCCACGGGATGTTGTGGTGTCGACAGTTTTTCTTGGATAAAGCAAAATGCTTTGTTATCATCGAGTATTGGATGTATGTGTGTGAAATGATCAATGGTGGAAAATACGCTTGAAAATTAGTTTTTCTCTTGGTATAAGGCAAATACAAAAATTTAATATATGGCAGAATTTTAGAGGTAACTATCTTTGTTTTCAAAATAATTGTCCGATGTTAATTTTTTTTCCAAAACAAAAACTTTTGTGGTATAGTATGTAAAGGATTTTAAACTCTAAGTGGTTAAGTTTAAAAAGCTATAAGTTTCTGCCAAAAGAAAAAAAATATACTTCTTACCTATTGCTATCTAGCTTCTCGAGTCACTCTTCAGATGTCCATTTGTTGTAGGTTCGTTCTTGTGTTCTGCATTGTTTCTTGGGTTTCTTGACTGAACCATGGCATCTTTAACTCCAAAAACTGTGAATTGAATGAACTCTCCTGGAGCCTACATAAGTGATGGAGCAAAAACCATCAAAGTACATGCAGTTTTTAAAATCATCGTGTTACATATATACATGTACTTACATGTATATTGGCTAATTGTTCAGCAGAAAAAGTTTTGTATTTGTTATAATATGTAGTTATGACTGTGTTTATAGTGACAAATTTCTGATCCATGAGTCTAAAGATCATGTCGTCCTGGGTCTAGGATATGGCTAAGTTTGTCAAAATACCGTCAAACATTGAAAATGTACGATGTTTTCTACCAATTATAGGGTAAGATTTCAATTTCTACAAAATTTAAACTGATTCACGCTTTACTGTCTCGTGTTTTTTAAATTATTGAATTATTATTTTTATGCCCCCGTAAACGAAGTTTCGCGGGTATATAGTTTTTGTCGTGTCCGTCTGTCTGTCTGTCTGTCTCTCTGTTTGTCTGTTTGTCCGCAAAAACTTTCACCTTGCCCATAACTTTTGATTTAGTAGAGCTATGACTTTCATATTTCACATGTGTATTCCTTGTAAAAAGACCTTTCTTTGGGTACCACCAAATTTGACCTTTTGACCTTGACCTTGGAGTTTGACCCACTTTTACATGAAAATTTTAAACTTTTACTTTTGCTATATCTTTTGAACAGTAGATACCAGGACATTTATACTTCACATATGTAATCTTTGTTGAAAAACCTTTCATTGGATACCAACAACCTTGACCCTTTGACCTTGACCTTGTAGATCCCCGTACTTGTGAAAAAAACTTTAACCTTGGCCATAACTTTTGAACGGTAAGGGATAGGGCTTTCATACTTCATATGTGTAATTCTTGTGAGAAGACCATTCTTTGGATACCAAGAACTTTGACCCTTTGACCTTGACCTTTGAGACTGACCTACTTTAAAAAAGCAAACCTTGACCATACTTTTAAAGAATTAGGGCTAGTGCTCTCATACTTTACATATTTAATTCTTGTGACAAGACATTTCATTTGATAACAAGAACTTTGACCTTGACTTTGGAGTCTGACCTACTTTTAGAAAAATTTAACCTTGGCCATAACTTTTAAACGGTTAGGGCTAGGGCTTCCATACTCTTCAAAAGTATTCTATGTGGCAAGACTTTTCATTTGATACCAATTACATTGACCTTTTGACCTTGACCTTGGAGATTTTTGTACTTATTGAAAAAACTTTAACATTGGCTTTCTTTTAAATTTACAATTATTTTCCAATGAGAATACCCTACTTTTGTACCAATTAATTAAATTTGCATTTAAGAAAAGTTTAATCTTTGCTAAGTTGCCATACGGGGGCATCAGTGTTTCACAAACACATCTTGTTTATCATCCCTTTTTCATGTTTTGTTCTTTGAAATAAATTTAGAACTTCGGATTTATATAAACATGTTTGTTGAATGTGTTACTAGCATTTGAAAATCTGCGAAAAATTCTTTTTACGCGTCTTTTACAGTCTTTTTATGCACCCGAATTTATTCGGGGCGTATATTGTTTTTGTCCTGTCTGTCTGTTTGTCTATTTATCTGTTTGTCTGTCTGTTTGTCTGTCTGTTGTCAACTTTAACCTTCGCCATAACTTTTGAACCGTTCGAGATAGAGACTTCATATCTGGAAGGCATACTTCACTAATTAAACACTTTCCACTGACTGTGACCTATATGCTAAAAATAGATTTTTCGAACTTTCGCTATAACTTTTGAACCATAGGAGAGGAGATAGAGACTTTATATTTGGTATGCATACTTTACTAAAAAGTGCTTTCAAACGACACCAAGGTCAATGACCTTGTGACCTTGACTGTAACCTATATGCTACAAATAGTTTTTTCGAACTTTGTTGCCGCCGGGCGCGTAGTGTTTCACAAACACATCTTGTGTATAAGGTTTTACGTGAAATATTGAGGTAACGAACGGTATTACTACCTACCTTTTATTTATTATATCTGCAGATACCCAGGACAAGGACTAGACGTCTCCATTTCTTTAGAGAATGTCTCTAAAGTTCTCTCCAAGTAATTCTGTGGTCTCTTATTTCCTTCTCCACAGTCCCTTGCCAGGTGTTCTTAGGTCGACCAGCTTTCCTTTTATCTTCTGGTGCCCATCTAAGATCTGATGCTATTATGCTGCCAAGATAGGTAAATGTTGTGTTGCTCAGGAGGTTATTTTTATCTACTTCTACCTGTATTAATGCTGGTTGTTTTGTGTTTAATGACATAACTTCAGTTTTATTGGTATTGATTTTCAGTATTTTTTTTTTTTTTGCATTACTCTGTAATTTTGATGTTTTACATGCATAAGCTTTTCCAGATGTGACTGTAGGGCCAAGTCATCTGCGTAGTCTAGATCTTCAAGACTGGTAAAAAGAGCTCATCTTATTTCTATGTTGTCTGCACTAAGGGTTGATTTCATCATCGTCTATTTCTAGTATAAAAAGGAAAGCTGACACCACACAGCCCTGTCTCACAGTAGCTTTTACTTTGAAGCATGCATCTGATGAGCTACCTACAGAGCAAAGAAACTCCAAGTAAAAAGCTTTAATCAGTTGAAGTTGAAATTGTAGTGTAGATTCAGGTTTGTAAAAAAACATTGCCCTCGGGGGTAGGGCGGAGCCACAATGGCATATCAAAGTTTTACTTAGAAATATATGGGATATAAATATGATCATTCCTGGCACAGTGGTCTCGAAAAGAAGATTTTTTGAATAGAATTTTCACATCTATTTCTAAATAAAACGTTGATTGGCCATTGTGGCCCCGCCCTACCCCGGGGCTAATGATTTGAAATGAAACTGAATCTACACTACCTGAGGATGCTTCCCTATAAGTTTCATCTTTCCTGGCACAGTGGTTCTTGAGATTTTTAAAGAATTTTGGAAGCATCCTCAGGTAGTGTAGATTCAGGCTTGTTCAAAGCATGACCCCCGGGGGTAGGACGGGGCCACAATGGCATATCAAAGTTTTACAAAGAAATATATTTGAAAATCTTTTTAAAAATAGCAAGGGCATGAATGATCATATTTTTATGGAAACATCCTCAGGTAGTGTAGATTCAATTCTGCTCAAATTATGACTCCTTGGGGTAGGGCGGGGCCACAACTTGGAATCAAAGTTTTACATATAAAAATATCTTTTGAAATTCTTTTTCTCAAGAATAGCAAACCCATGATATATTCAATTTTGTTCAAGTCATGATCCCTGGGGGATAGGACTGGGCCACAATGTAAGTTCAGATGTAAAGGGCCACTGAAATATGCAAGCATCCTTAGTTTGTGTAGATTCAAGTTTGTTCAAATCATACCCTCTCCCTTTTAAGGATTGGTTGGGACCACTATTGGGTTTATACTTTTCAATAATAAACTGATTTCTGCTCTTTACCGAGCCATATTGCTCAGGTGAGCAATGTGGCCTATGGGCCTCTTGTCTTGTTTTGGTATCGATTGCAGTCTTTATTTTGTTGATTATCATTCTGCTAAAAATCTTACTAGGTATTGATAGTAAGGTGATGCTCCTCCATTTATTGCAGCATTTTAGATCTCCTTTCTTTGACAGTTTGATTTTTTCCCATGTTGTCGTAGGTTCTCATGAAGAATTTTAAAAATAAATCCTATTTCATAGGAATATAAAAAAAAGTTACCTTATAAAAAGCACAGTAAAACTTGGTCTCTGAAGACCACTTAAATGTTGTAAATGGGTATCAAATCCAATGCATCCCTTTTATATCAACTTCAGATTAGATGTGTATGCAATCAGTTGTTTTAATGAAGTAATTTTGTTAATGGCCAGAAAGCAAGATGTGAAAATTATCGAGTAACTGTTTTATTAAGAAGCAGTTGCCTTTAATATTTTAAAAAAACATAGCTTTTTAATTTATTGTGAGACATTATTGTTTAAAGTGTAGAAAAGTCGTAAGTTATGATGCTATTTTATACAAATTGAATTTAACACATGTGATTCCATGTCATGGAAGCAAATTCATTCTTAGCGTTATAAATTTACTTACCTTGTCATTGGTCATTTGCAAAATTATTTTGTTAAAACATATTCTGATTGCACACACAAGTAATCTGAAGTTGGCATAAAAAATGCTTGAGTTTCTGATTGACAATATCTATGTGGTTTTTGGAAACCATTGTCTTTCAACAATCTATAGGAATCCCCATGGGTACCAATTGCGCTCTGTTATTAACACACCTGTTTTTGTACTCATATGAAGCAGAATTTGTGCGAAATCTTATGCATGAAAAGAAGAAAACACTTGCTGTGGCCTTCAACTCGACATTTAGATATCGACAACATATCGTAAATTAACAATGGTAATTTGCATTCCTACGTCGATACGATATATCCTGGTAAGCTTGAGATAAAAGATACCACAGAGTCTGACACATCTGTTTCATACTTGGATATCTTACTTGAAAAAAACATTAATGGCAATCTAACAACCAAGCTATATGATAAACGTGATTACTTTAACTTTACATTTTTTTTTTTTAATTTCCTATTGTTAACTTCCCTTACTTATGCAGCAATATACCTTCATCACCTGCAAACGGAGTGTATATATCTCAGCTAATTCGATACGCAAGAGCTTGCTCTACGTATGAACAATTTCTAAAACAAGGTTAATTATTGAGAAGCAAGTCATCATTTCGTAAGTTCTATGGTCGATACAATGACCTTGTCAGCAAATACAATTTATCATTGAGTCAAATGCTGACTGACGTTTTTCATACTTATTGTTAGTCCATAATTTATACACTGAATTGACGACGGATTTTCCCGTTATTTCCCGATCATGACAAGGAGCACACGGCGGGTGTGATGTGACCAGTCAGCAGGGGATGCTCACTCCTTCATGGCACCTGATCCCACCTCTGATGTTTTGGAGGTCCGTGTTTGCTCTGCTCCTATTTTATATTGTTTAATGGATTTTGATATTGAATGCTGTTCGTTATCTCCATATATGAAATGAAAAATAAAACAATAAGGACTGTTCTCTTCGTAAAAATAAGTCATTTTTTATATGACGAATTGTGAATATGATGCTTTGTTATCCCTGAACAATTTGTTACACCCCTTGAAAACAAGTTTTGAGACTTGACCGTTTTATAACCAGTCTGTAATCTTTCTGCATTGCAAATTCCAGAAACTGAGTGAGACTTGATATAAAGAATATATGCTTTTTATTATGCAGAGAAGGGTATTTGTTCAGGATTTCCGAACACCTGATAAAGACGATTTAGGATAAAGCTTTTATTCAGTTTCTTTGATGTTGAAGAGCTATATATTATTCTTCATGTTTTCTGCTGTCCAGGGGCCCGTTTCACAAATCCTACTTAGGACTAAGTTCTATCTTCGGAAAGAACTTTTTCCTAAGTTCATTACTTAGCCGTTTCACTAACCTCGTCTTATCTTAGGATATTCCTAAGTTATGTCGTAACTTTAGGACAGGTAAATCATTGACTTAGGAAGAAACTAAATATTGCGGCTGCATTTCCAAGATTTCTTATGGAGAGAGAGAATGTGTTGGGGGGGGGGGGGGGGGGGGAGAAATCCAATGGACTACTAGTATATGGACGATTGTGTTCTCGCCAGGTTAACACTGCTTTACTTTGCATGGAATTACTAGAATTTATATAATTGGCAAAATTGTCAAAATTAGTTCAAGGTATATAAAAATGTTCGTTCGCAAAACTGGAGCTGACGAAATAGATGTACATATGCTGGAATAATTCTCATCATTTGAAGAGCACGCCTTTGTAAATAAAAAATCAATAGCACATGAATTGATCCATACATACATGTATATTCGTACATTATGTTTTTATCTATATGTACATGAATAATTTTTTATATATTACTAATACTGTAGAAGTACTTTTTCCACGTGGTATTAATTTACGCTGTGTACGCGGTCACAAATTTTCCGCGGAAATTTGTCCAAGCGTACTCAATGTAAATGTAAGGCATTTAGTGGCAGTCTAAGAAATCCGCGTAATTTTCTACCCGCGGATTAAACAGAAATTGAGATTCCGCGGAATTATGACCCCGTGGAAAAAAGTACGTCTACAGTATTTTAATTGATATTAAATTCGAATTTGAAGAATGATATTTTAGATAATTGGAAACACTTGTTCACATTCTATCAGTACACGATTCTTGATGAACCCCCAACCAAGCTCCGGATATACAGATGTTTCTCCCAAGAATGGTTGCATTTAATCTCCTCTACATATAGGACGTTATTATTGAAGGGACACAAGCATAACGCAGTTTTGTTTTGTTTGTCTATATAATTCTATACATCGGTAAAATTATTATTACCCCCCCCCCCTCCCTCCCGTGCTCTTCAGTTCCTACAGCCATGAGATTACAACCAGTCTTCCTCTCCGCTTAATGCAATGTATAGGCTAGTTATGCATGATATTTCAATAGATTTCTTTTATTAACCTCTTCTTTTAGTATTTTCATATTTGTAGTCGCGAATTTGGGATTTTTTTTTCTGGCATGGCATTCTTATTTTATATATATGAGAAAGTTTTACACAGCACGAATAACTAACGTTAAGTAGTCATTTCATTAACAAGTAGATACCTTATAAAGAGCAAAATAAATTAAACGTATAACACGTAGAACAATGTTCAGACAGATGTTCGTGTGCCCGGAAGGGAAGGGGGCTTGAAAGGTTGTGAATGCTTAGTTCTACCAGCAAACTTCGCAAAGTTAAAACATGCTTCTGTCTAAGTCCTTTGAAAGTGGGGGTAATCCCCAATCCTCCCGCCCTTCCCTTTTTGAAGCTAAAAATATGACCCATACTGACATACTGAGAGTTGTAGATAGAGCGGAGACGTTACATCGTTAGTCTTTATATTATGCACAACTTAAGAAATTACTTAGGAAAAATTTAAGATAAAATTGTTTCGTGAAACAGCTGTGACAAATCTTTGGAACTTCCTAAGTTATAACTTAGGCATATCTTAAGTTATGTCTTACGACATATCTTAGGAAACGTTTGTGAAACAGGCCCCAGTTCCTTGGTTTAAATAAGCATCTAAAAAAATGGACCAGTCTTCTTTACTGAAACATAACATCAGGAAGAACAAACAATGGTATCTCAAAAATCACTTTCATCCATTACATCACGGTCAGTAAAATTTTATAATCATTTCTGTACAGTATCAGAAATCTAAGTGAATCACAAGCATGCTTTGTATTTTCATAAATTTGATTTTTATAGGAAATTGAAGTTAAATCCTAAACTCATCTGAATAATAATCAAGGTCGAACGATTTTTCTAATGCATATATCCATTTATACGCATTATTTGAAGCCCTGGCAAATAAAAACTATTTCAACCAGACCAAGTCTTTAAACAATCTTTTAAAATTCCTATGTGTACCAAATGCGCATCGTTATTAGCAGACCTTTCTTATTCATATGGAGCAGGAACCCGATTTACAAAAGAACTTACGGCTAAGACCAAAAACTTAAGTTGGTAGCGAAAGTTTGCAAAACTAATGATTGAGTTTATAATTTTTATCATAAAAATATATTTCTACATTCCTTTTAATAAGTTTAAAACCATTTTCAATTTAATGCAATTAAGCAAATTATAAGTAGAATGAATTTTGGTCTTAATCGTAAGTTCTTTTTTAAAACCGGCCCCAAAATTTATTTAAAATCTTATTCATGAGAAGAGGAAAATTCTTGCTATAGCCCTTAATTCGACATTTATATGTATCAATTAACATTAGTTTCATTGTATTTCCATTCATAATTCTATCGACACGAAACATCCTATAGTTAGCTTTAAATTAAAAGATACTACAGAGTCGAATACCACTGTTTCATATTTGGATACTTTATTAGAAAAGGACTTTAATGAAAATAATTAAAAAGCTAGCAACATTGATGTAAAACCTGTCAGTCAAAGCACGACGAAATTATAGGTTGTATATTTCATAATGCGATATTATCCAGACTTTTTATTACCGTTTGTAATAGTGAGGCCCAAAAATAAATTATAGCACTTGGAAGATCTTCTTAGCAGTATCACATAGTGTCATGTTGGACTCAAAATATGTCTTCTTTTATAGATGTGAACTTTGTGAAGTCCGAAAAGTAAGAATTTTAGTCCTAACAACTATCCCATCTCTCTGAAAAAGTGTCCGATAGGATATACTTTCTCATATTGGGATTTTTTCTCCCCAAAATTTGATAAAATGAGAGAAAATTCCACGGTTATGGTCAATAAGACATTTCCACCCATACTTTGCTGAACAATTGAGATATACCCCATATATTATGATTAGTGAGATTTATCATTTTTACTAGTATTTATTTCTCAAAAATATATAAAAACATGTCGGCTTGAAAAGGAGCCTAGTAGTTAACTAGTGAACATTGAATCATAATGTTAAAAAACAGGGACTCCAAATACTCCAAAGATAATGTTAACTTGGTTAATGAGGAACTGCAGCTTTATTTGATATGAACTCTAGATCACCGAATCTAGTGAGGCATTTTGTCGTGTATGACTATGGCCTACCTTTTTAAAACAAGAAAGCGAAAGGAAAAGTAAAGCGGAAATTAAACCTGCCGGAATTTGACAAGATATATTTTATATATCCCAACGGCGTTATATTCAATAAGCAGAATATAATTATTGGTGAGTAATTACTGAGTAGTTTGATGTACACAGGCACTGCTAGATTTTATGTTTAAGTCATCTATCCAAGTCAAAGGTTTCTGATGGAAGATATGTAAAGTTAGCTACTAGTAACTGGCTACTAGTAGCTGGCTACGACAAGTGGTAAAGTTAGCTACTAGTAGCTGGCTACGAGAAGTAAGCAAATTTGGCTACTAGTAACTGGCTACTAGTAGCTGGCTACGAGAAGTATGTTAAGTTGGCTACTAGTAACTGGCTACTAGTAGCTGGCTACGACAAGCATGTAAAGTTGGCTACTAGTAACTGGCTACTAGTAAATGACTTGAACCTTCTAAGAATAACCGTCTAGTATCTTTTGTGTAAAATTATGCAAACTTGGGATACAAATGTTGATATTCTTGAAGTAGCTGGAATTTTACACCGCTGATATCCACTGATAGTGTTGAAAAAAACAATCTCTAAGCTTTTCAACGTAATATGGCACTGAAGTTACCAAGATATCGGTAGTAATAAACTCAGCTACTAGTACCTTTTGTCTAGAATTATGCTATTTGGGAGACAAATGTTGATATTTTTAAAGTAGCTGGTTTGTTACCTCGCTGATATCAACTGATATTGCTGATCAAAATAATCTCTAAGATATTCCACATGATCTGGCAGTAAAGTTACCAAGATATCGTTAGTAAAGAACTCAGCTACTTGTACCTTTTGTTTCAATTTATGTTATTTTTTGGAGACAAATGTTGATATCTTCGAAGTAGCTGGTTTGTTACCTCGCTGATATCAACTGATAAAAATAATCTCTAAGATATTCCACATGATCTGGCAGTAAAGTTACCAAGATATCGTTAGTAATGAACTCAGCTACTGGTACCTTTTGTTTCAAATTATGCTATTTTTGGAGACAAATGTTGATATTTTTTGAAGTAGCTGGTTTCTTACGTCGCTGATGTCAACTGATATTGCTAATAGAAATAATCTCTAAGATATTCCACATGATCTGGCAATAAAGTTACCAAGATATCGTTAGTAATGAATTCAGCTACTGGTACCTTTTGTTTCAAATTATGCTATTTTCGGAGACAAATGTTGATATTTTTGAAGTAGCTGGTTTCTTACGTCGCTGATAGCAACTGATATTGCTGATAGAAATAATCTCTAAGATATTCCACATGATCTGGCAATAAAGTTACCAAGATATCGTTAGTAATGAATTCAGGTACTGGTACCTTTTGTTTCAAATTATGTTATTTTTTGGAGATAAATGTTGATATTTTTGAAGTAGCTGGTTATTACCTCGCTGATATTAACTGATATTGCTGATAAAAATAATCTCTCAGATATTTCACATGATCATGCAGTAAAGTTACTAAGATATCGTTATTAATGAACTCAGCTACTGGTACCTTTTGTTTCAAATTATGCTATTTTTGGAGACAAATGTTGATATTTTTGAAGTAGCTGGTTTCTTACGTCGCTGATAGCAACTGATATTGCTGATAAAAATAATCTCTCAGATATTCCACATGATCTGGCAATAAAGTTACCAAGATATTGGTAGTAATGAATTCAGCTACTAGTACCTTTTGTTTCAAATTATGTTATTTTTTGGAGATAAAGGTTGATATTTTTGAAGTAGCTGGTTTGTTACCTCGCTGATATCAACTGATATTGTTGATAAAAATAATATCTAAGATATTCCACATGACCCGGCAGTAAATTTACCAAGATATCGTTAGTAATGAACTCAGCTACTGGTACCTTTTTTTTTCAACTTAGGCTATTTTTTGAGACAAATGTTGATATTTTTGAAGTAGCTGGTTTGTTACCTAGCTGATATCAACTGATATTGCAGATAAAACTAATCTCTAAGATATTTCACATGATCTGGCAGTAAATTCACCAAGATATCGTTAGTACTGAACTCAGCTACTTGTACCTTTTGTTTCAAATTATGTTAATTTTTTGGAGATAAATGTTGATATTTTTGAAGTAGCTGGTTTGTTACCTCGCTGATATCAACTGATATGGTTGATAAAAACAATCTCTAAGATATTCCACATGATCTGGCAGTAAAGTTACCAAGATATCGTTAGCAATGAACTCAGCTACTAGTACCTTTTGTTTCAAATTATGCTATTTTTGGAGACAAATGTTGATATTTTTGAAGTAGCTGGTTTCTTACTCGCTGATGTCAACTGATATTGCTAATAGAAATAATCTCTAAGATATTCCACATGATCTGGCAATAACGTTACCAAGATATCGTTAATAATGAATTCAGCTACTGGTACCTTTTGTTTCAAATTATGCTATTTTCGGAGACAAATGTTGATATTTTTGAAGTAGCTGGTTTCTTACGTCGCTGATAGCAACTGATATTGCTGATAAAAAAATCTCTATGATATTCCACATGATCATGCAGTAAAGTTACCAAGATAGCGGTAGTAATGAACTCAGCTACTAGTACCTTTTGTCTAGAAATATGCTATTTTCGGAGACAAATGTTAATATTTTTGAAGTAGCTGGTTTGTTACCTCGCTGATATCAACTGATATTGCTGATAAAAATAATCTCAAAGATATTCCACATGATCTGGAAGAAAAGTTACCAAGATATCGTAAGTAATGAACTCAGCTACTGGTACCTTTTGTTTCAAATTATGCTATTTTTGGAGACAATTGTTGATATTTTTGAAGTAGCTGGTTTGTTACCTCGCTGATGTCAACTGATATTGTTGATAAAAATCATCTCTAAGATATTCCACATGATCTGGCAGTAAAGTTACCAAGATATCGTTAGTAATGAATTCAGCTACTGGTACCTTTTGTTTCAAATTATGCTATTTTTGGAGACAAGTGTTGATATTTTTGAAGTAGCTGGTTTCTTACGTCGCTGATAGCAACTGATATTGCTGATAAAAATAATCTCTCAGATAGTCCACATGATCTGGCAATAAAGTTACAAAGATATTGGTAGTAATGAATTCAGGTACTGGTACCTTTTGTTTCAAATTATGTTATTTTTTGGAGATAAATGTTGATATTTTTGAAGTAGCTGGTTTGTTACCTCGCTGATATCAACTGATATTGTTGATAAAAATAATATCTAAGATATTCCACATGACCCGCCAGTAAAGTTACCAAGATATCGGTAGTAATGAACTCAGCTACTGGTACCTTTTGATTCAAATAATGCTATTTTTTGAGACAAATGTTGATATTTTTGAAGAAGCTGGTTTGTTACCTCGCTGATATCAATTGACATTGCTGATAAAAATAATCTCTAAGATATTCCACATGATCTGGCAGTAAAGTTACCAAGATATCGTTATTAATGAACTCAGGTACTAGTACCTTTTGTATTAAATTACGCTATTTTTGGAGACAAATGTTGATATTTTTGAAGTAGCTGGTTTGTTACCTAGCTGATATCAACTGATATTGCAGATAAAACTAATCTCTAAGATATTTCACATGATCTGGCAGTAAATTCACCAAGATATCGTTAGTACTGAACTCAGCTACTTGTACCTTTTGTTGCAAATTATGTTAATTTTTTGGAGATAAATGTTGATATTTTTGAAGTAGCTGGTTTGTTACCTCGCTGATATCAACTGATAAAAATAATCTCTAAGATATTCCATATGATCTGGCACTGAAGTTACCAAGATATCTGTAGTAATAAACTCAGCTACTTGTACCTTTTGTTTAAAATTATGCTATTTTGGGAGACAAACCTTAATATTCTTGAAGTAGCTGGATTTTTACAATGCTGATATCAACTAATATTGTTGATAAAAACATTCTCTGACCTTTTCCACATGATCTAGTGCTGATGTCACCAAGATATCGCTAGTAATAAACTCAGCTACTAGTACCTTTTGTTTAAAATTGTGCAATTTTGGGAGACAAATCTTAATATTCTTGAAGTAGCTGGATTTTTACGTCACTGATATCAACTGATATTGCCAATAAAAACAATCTCTTAGTCATTGCAGATGATCTGGCACTAAAGTTACCAAGATATCGGTAGTAATAAACTCAGCTACTTGTACCTTTTGTTTAAAATTATGCTATTTTGGGAGACAAACCTTAATATTCTTGAAGTAGCTGGATTTTTACACCGCTGATATCCACTGATATTGTTGATAAAAACAATCTCTGAGCTTTTCTACATGATCTGGCACTGAAGTTACCGAGATATCTGTGGTAATAAATTCAGCTACTTGTACCTTTTGTTTAAAATTATGCTCTTTTGGAGACAAATCTTGATATTCTTGAAGTAGCTGGATTTTTACATTACTGATATCAACTAATATTGTTGATAAAAGCATTCTCTGTCCTTTTCCACATGATCTGGTCCTGATGTCACCAAGATATCGTTAGTAATAAACTCAGCTACTTGTACCTTTTTTGTAAAATTATGCTATTTTGGGAGACTTATCTTGATATTCTTGAAGTAGATAGATTTTTACATTGCTGATATCAACTGATGTTGTTGATAAAAACAATCTCTGAGCTTTTCCACATGATCTGGTGCTAAAGTCACCAAGATGTCGTTCGTAATAAACTCAGTTACTGGTAATTTATTTTGTAAATTATGCTATTTTGGGAGACGAATCTTGATATTTTTGAAGTAGCTGGATTTTTTCATCCCTGATATCAGCTGATATTGTTGATAAAAGCAACCCCTTAGTAGATGTCACCAAGATATCGTTAGTAATAAACTCAGCTACCGGAACATTTTGTTTAAAATTATGCTTTTTTGGGAGGCAAATGTTGACATTCTTGAAGTAGGTGGATTTTTACACCGCTGATATCAACTGATATTGTTGATAAAAACAATCTCTAAACTCTTAAATTTATAATTTAATTTAAAAAGTCTTTAAATGAAGCTTGAAAATTAAATATTTTCATGCAACAATTTTCATTATATGCCTCTCAATATGCTTAAAGGTTCTTTGCAAAGCTCCATAAATCATTTCTAATTTCATATCA